AGAGTTCGAATTTAAGTTCAGTGGCCTGGCAGCAGAATCCATGCTTCTCATACCTGAGCCCAGATCATGGTTTGAAAATACCCCTCTGCTGAGAGGAACAGTATTCCTTGGAGAAATTGCTGATTCCAGAGACAGGCAGGAAAGGACAAGGTGAGCCTGGGTTAACTAGTTGTTCCAAAAAGCAAGGAGGTGTCACAAATGATTGAACTAGGTAAGTAGAGCCCTAAATTCAGCTTTATGGGCCATGTCATGGCCACATTGGGGACAATTTTAGTATGACAAATACTAGAGAAGGTGACTGCTGTACACTGAATGACTAAAATTGCATGAGTCCAGAGAGACTCTCAAGATCAGGAATGAGAGTGAATAGAGAGAAAAAGAGAAAGCTCTTTGAATACCAGCTAACACAGGAGGAGTAATGTGATGAAAGACTTAGAAGAATTATCCTTGTTAAACTTGCCATTTGATAATCTCTCTGGGCAAGAATTAGCAGTAGATGTTATAATCACTGGACAAGGTGACTGAGGCGCATGAATTTTAGCCAGAGCCAGTGTCTCATCCAGGGATGACTTTCCAGTTGTGGGGGAGGGTGTTGTAAAACATACCTTCCCAACAGATCTCTCTAATTCAACCCTAGGCGCCCTAATGTCATGTGGGGCACTGTGAAATATAGAACACCATCTCCAAATGATCCTTTGCTGAAAAGGGAAAACATGGATCTAACTTGAATTGACTAGAATCTCATTTTGTCTCGTTCTAATTTAGACGTAAATTCCAGTTTAGAGAAAATACAGGAAACAGAGGCACAAGTCAAATGACAATCAGGGAAAGAAAGAAGACAAATCCAGATGTGGGACATTCTAGGGAATGATTTATTCAGACTTTACCAAAAAATGTGTGTGTAGCGGGGGTGGGGGTAAAATATCTAGATTAAAAGATATGACAGAGGTAATTCATGCATTTTGCTTGGCTAGTGGCTTTGAGAAATTTCAGAATGCACTCTGGGGCAAATAGGGAAATTTGAATTTGAAGGTTAGATGGGATAGAATTTTTGTTCATTTTCTTGAGTGTAATGCTACTGTGGTCATGTAGGAGATTAAACTGTTTAGTGAAGAGCTGTGATACCTGCACCTTTAAAAAGTTCAGGGAAACTATAAATACATACATTCAAATTCAAATAGATGACGGATAATAACTAACTAGACAGATGATAGAGAAGTAGATAAATAGAGAAGTAGGCAGATAATAGACAACTAGATAGAAAACAGATAAGTAGAGAAGTAAATAGATTTATAGAAGTAGACAGAGGTGGCTGGACGGGTTGATGGACAAAGGAACGGACAATCATAACAGAAAACTGGCCATTGAGTCTAGGTGGTCTTGATGGCATTACAACTTTTCTGACCATCTGAATATTTTTATACTGTTAAAATGAGAGGTAAGTGTATAATTTATCCTCTTACTAACCTTTCCCTGTTGCCGGAAGTCAGAGGAGAGGCTGCAGTGTTCCTAGAGTCCACCGGCTTGCTGCTCCTCGAGAGCACGGGGTGACAACCGACGGGAAATGCATGAGTCTGTGCAGCTGGGAGAGTATCCCTTCCAGGACCAGTGACTTCTCCCAGTTCTCTCAGCTTAGGTGGAGCGCACAGAGTGTGCCCCTGTTTTATTGAAACACTTTAGCTCGCTCTACATCATGCACCCACCCCTGTGGGCATTAGCGCCCTCTGCAGACAGTAGCTGCATGGACATCTTGCCTGTCTCCACCCTGCATCTCTCATCTACACAGGAGGCTAGAAAGGAGTTCACAGTCATCTGGACCCTGCAGCCTCCTCTTTGGAACTGCCCTGCTTTGCCCTGAAGCACAACATCTGCCCGCCTGTGTGCTGAAAACGTGCAGTAAACCTGTCCTGTCCCAGGCCCTGCACGAGGCCTACAGGTGGGAGGCGCATGCACAGCATGGGAGCTGGCCGTGGAGGCCTGGTGCCCGCAGCCTGGATGCCTCTTGGGACACTTTCTGTCCGAGTGTGCTCCTGGAGCTTCGGCTCAGGGCTGCCGAGCCTGTGCCTTCCCGCAACTGCTTGGTCAGGATCAGGCTGAGCATCCGTCCTAAGCCTCTGACGTCTGGAATCTGGAAATGAGCCGTTGGCTTCTGTCCCATTACTGAAGGGCAGACCCAATCATGCCTTTTGTCCAGCAACCAGGGAGTCCAGTGGAGCTAGAGCTTGAATCTCCTTCCTTGTTTTCTTTTTGTCTGTTTTTATTTTTAAATACAAACCCTTTGAGGGGGCTCCATTACCTTCACTTACAGTCGAGAAAATCAAGATGGACGCAGGTTGCAGAACTTGTCCCAGCTGGAGAGGGCGGAGGAGGGTCTCTCATGCAATCAGAGGGGCTTGAGCCAGATCCCCTCACCCACCGCCTCCAGGCACAAGGCCACAGTTGCCTGTGGCTTCAAGGAGTGAGATGCAGCCCCTGGGCAGGCCTGCCAGGCAGGGGCTTGCTTAGTCTCTGGAGTGTCATCATCCCCATCACACCGATGGAGGCACAGAGAAAAAAGAAGTAACTGGCCCAAGGTTTCCTAGCTGTTGGGAGGCTCACGGATCTGAGCCCACGTGAGCTGGCTTGAGAGTCCAGACTCTCGATTCCTATTTTACATAACTACTAACACTTTGTAGAAAGCTGATGCAGTATTGCAGTAAAGAGCTGTTCGGAGGGAGAGTTATCAGGCAAGACTTCTCGGAGGTGGTGTCCCAGGTGGAAGACTTGAGTGATGACCACGTGGCAGGCAGGGGACACGTAACTCAGCGCACCCACCCCCGTGATGGCTGCTCATTCCAGTCACCTAGGGACAGTTTTCAGAAATATAACACCTGAGCCCTACGCCGGAGCCATTCCATCTGAACCTCTGTGGGTGAGTCCATGACTGCCCTTTTATTTTTTTAAACCTCCTAGGAAAGTGCCACATGCAGCCAAGGCTGAGAGCCACTGGCCTAGGGATTTGGAGGGGCGTGGGGCTGGCATTGCAGGGAGCAGGAACACGCCTCCATCTTTTCCCTAGGCATGAGGACCCCAGCCCCACCCCGTCTGTCCAAGGCCTTCGTTCACCCTGCAGCCCTGCCCTGATGCACAAACGAAAGGCAGGAGAGAGGTATTAAGGGCAGGAGAGAGGAATTAAAACGCACTTAGGGAAAAGCTGAAGAGCAGCGTTGTCTCCTAAGTTACCAGGAGGCCAGGAGGGGGCCGCCCATCAGGCCCCAAATGACAAATGACATTCTGAACCGGTATCTCCTCGGATACTTACTTCTAAGCTGACCCTTGGAGATAGCTAATAAAAGACCAACCTGTCCTCCAAGATTAACGACTCCAGGGAAAGAGGAGGAAGGGGGAGCAGCTGAGCAGGGTCCCTGGAAACCTTTGCTGCCCCTAAGCCCTCTTTGTTGACAATGAAAAGGCCAAAACAGAAGAAGCCGCTGGGCAGAAAACAGCACTGGCCAGTAGTTTGTTTGCAGTCCACCCTCCTGCCCTTCTGCTGGGAGGCCCCTCTCGGCTGTGGCTGTTTCCCTGCCCATGCCCCACGCACCCGCCCGCCTCCTTCCCTGCGCCAGCATTGTCTGAGCCCCCTGCGTGGTCTTCTCCTCGGGACTGCTTTGAGCCCGCTCTGGGTGCTTCTGGCCTCTCCCTCTCTGTCTTTCCTAGCTTTTCCTCCCCCTTTTCATTTCTCTCGCTCTGTGTCGCTCCCGCAGTGATGGATGAGCGCGCGCGCCGGTTCCGGCCCTGCTGTCTCCCGGTCTTGCTCTGCCTGTCTCTGTCTGTTTCTGTCCTTGGCAACCCCGGGCGTCTGCCACCGGCTTTCCCTCTCCTGTTCCTCCCTGGCTTTCTGGGACCTGTCTGTCTTTCCAGCCTCCTTTCTGTCCTGCTTCATCGATGTCCTGCTTCTATCCCACTTCGCTGTGCCCCCCCCCCATCTCATCCTGCTCCGTGTCATGCTCTCCTCTCCCTTCCCTGTCTCCCCTTTTCTAGGGACCCTGCCCCACTGCCCCCCACTCCCTGAGTACTCCAGGAGAGGGAATGTAATCTGTGTTGGGCACAGCTGGGGGTTGCTGGGAGTGCCCCCCATGCCACTCACCCGCCTGCTGTCGGAAAAGGAGCTCCCTGAACCCAAGCTTGGGTTCCACTTACCTCTCACTGTCCATTTTTATGTCTTTTTAAAAAAAGATGTATTTATTTTGTCGTGTAGAAGAGCTGGGGTGTAGGCCAGAGGTGCAGAGGGGTGAGAGGATTCACCAATGTCTTTTCCAGCAAAGACCACTGATAAGATCCCTCATTCCTCGATATCACTTTGCTCCTTTGTGGCCACGCGCACCTGTGTTCACAACCGAGAAATCCCAAACTCATCGTGAAGCCACAGACATGCTTATTACCTAATAACAATGTATGGCTTGCCAGATATTATGGCCCAGTGAATAATCTGGACATGTAACTCATATCTGCAACAATCCTACACCCTCGATCTCACCGCCCCTATTTTTCAGAGGCAGAAACTGGGAGTCAGAGAGGTTAAGACTCCTGCCCAAAGTCACAGAGCTTGTGTCTGGTAGAAGCAGAATTCAAGCCTATTCTGGGAGGATCTGAGGGTCATGCTCTTACCACTGAATCTCTCCATGCCAGGCTACCCATTGAGGTCCTCACTACCCAACACAGTGATTTAAATGAATGAAAATGGAGTAGGATTTACAATTGACTTTCTCTGTGTCACTCGCCACATTTCCAAGGCTCAGCACCACATGGGGCTGCCATATTGCACAGTGCAGATAAAGAACGTTTCCCCTGTGCAGAATGTTCTCCTGGATGGTGCTGCTGTAGATCAACCCAGGGGTGTTTCCTGCCTCGCCTCTGTGGGAGGACAAAAGAAAACAGGTTATTGAAATAACCCCAGGTTTTGCTCACTGGCTCCAGTTCTGGCTGCGTAAGAGGTTGTGAAGAAGAACCTGGAGTAAAGCCACAATGCTGTTGGTTAAATTAATGGACAAAGACTTTGAGGCAGATGCGAAAAATAACTCCTCTTTTACAACCCAGAATTCATTGTTCGGTGTGAGTTTTGATAGAGATAAGAAGGAACACGACACAAACATACAGCCAGCAACCCTGCTTCTGAAGACCTGCAGGCAGTGTCACCTGTGCCACGTGACCCTGCCTTCCCAGTGCTGTTTATGCCTGGATTACCGCAGAGGAACACTCTGCTTTCATTAAGGGGACGAGTAGGGTGGCTGTGTATATTCTTCTAGAAGGTAAAGAAAGCACAATCTTATGCCAGAAATTGAATTTTCTTATTTCAGCTGGTGTCCAGGGCTTTGAACCCTTCCACAACATGAACAGCTTATCTTGTTCCACTCGATCAAAAACATTTCATAATGCCGCCGCCTTCCGCAAGGTCACCTTGGACTCTTCCCTGCTCAAAGCATCCTGAATCTTCCTTTCCCTAATAGAAACATTCTTGAAATCTGAGCAAAATGAACTTGCCCGGCCCTGTTCCCTCTCCAAGAAAATTGTATCTCACCTCTCTGTAACAAGTCACTAAGAAGAGGGAAGTGTTTACAATTTCTTGCAAGCTCCCCAGTCTGGGAATTCTGGGTACCCCAGCATCCTCCCACCCTGCTGACTTTCACTGCAAGTCTTAGCCTCATGCAAATGTCTCCCCAGGCAGCTCCCACTCCCCACTGGTCTCTCATGGTTACTCAAGGATGCATTTCTTCCTGTAGCTTTCACATATCCCCATGCTGCTGGCAGAGAACCAATGTTCCAGCACGGGGCGCCCCTCACCTGGTGACTGCCGCCTGTTTGGGCACCAAAGGGTCCCTCTAGGAAAGAGTTGTTCTTTCCTCTCTCTGCCTTCTTTCGAGCCTCAAAAGTGATGCAAGGCAGTGGTTTGACCCCAACATGTTAACGGCAATTACTGAAGGCTCCTCACAGGCTTTATTTCTAACATTGTGTTAGGGGAAAAGGCTGTCCTAAAGCTAATTCCATACAGGCTTTGTAGACTCCACGCCGCACTCCAGACCAAAGCCAAAAGACACTGGGAACTCCAAATGCCATCACCACCAAAGGAAAGGTGGCTGGGACCTGAGGGTGGGATTAAGCAGCCAGGTTTGGTATAAAGCCAGACACGTGGGCTTTGGAGGGGATCCCCCATTTTGGCTCTCAGCCAGCTTGCAGCGTCCAGCCAGTTCTGAGAGTGCCTTTGGGTTTCCAGGTCGGAGGATTGGGTAGGACGCATTAAAGACTTTATTTCCCTATTTTCTCCCTGAGTTGTACATTTCCTTAATTCCCTTTCCCTTGTAAATAAACCTTTTATTAACCTTTTGTGTGTGCCTGTAGTGGAGTATTAATAAGTCCCTTTTAAGCGTGTGGGTGAGGATCCACAGCCAGGCAACCCGTTTTATATTGGGGTTGCCCTATAACTGTTTGGCACCCAACGTGGTTTCCAAGCTTCACCTGTGGTTGACCCTATAACAATTGGGGCTGTCTGTGTAGTGGTTAAGGTCATGTGCTATACAACTGGCCTTGGTTTGAATTCCAGCTTTGCCATTTACTGGTTGGGTGGACTGAACTTTGTTACTTAATCTCTCTGTACCTCAGTTTCTTATCTGTAAAATGGGGGGAATGATACAGATCTCACAGGTGTAAAGATTGGTTTTGTGTCATCGTTGTCATTGTTGGTATTTTCTCAATTGCTCTTCGGGCTCATAAGTGCCTCCGTGTATGATTTCATCCATAACCTTGACACTGCTCAGATCTTCCCCGAGCCTGCATTGTTTGTGGTACTGACACTTTTGCCTTGTCTTCTGGGTTTTATTTTAAATACCATTCTTGCTCTTGTGGAATCTTCCATCCAGCTCTCCCCTCACAATTCAACAGACATGCCCACATGCCTCTAAAGTCCCAAGAGGTAGCAGCTCAGCTTACAAAGACACAGCATCTCCTCCCAGCCACATGTCAGCTCCACCTTTGGAGATAAGGGAATGCGTCTCAGCTAACACAGCTATTCATTGAAAAGGAGGCAACCCAAGGGCAGCCCAGCATTGGAGTCTTCCTTCCCTCAGATGTCTGGTAACCCCAACATGGCAACTGGATGTGTGTTGAATGTTGGGATTGCAGGGTGAAAGTACCCTGCCCATTATGCTACCCTCTGGCTCTCAGCTGTTCTGATTGACCTTAGTGCTTGAGATGCATCCAGTTCACCCTAACCATCAGCAGCTCACATCCGCTTCACTTTCCTTCCCAGATTCTCCAGCCTCCAGGGGACTCCTTACTCTGAGTTCCAAAGTGCAGCTTCTCCTCTGCTCTCCCTTCCACTCCCTGCCCCCATTGGCTGTGCCCACTCACCCACTCACTCTCCTTCACTCAGCCTCAGCCTCTGGCTTTGAACACAGTATCAACATTTGCCCACATCTCTGGAAGAGCTCTCTTGCTCCCGGCCTGGCTCCAACAAGATGGAAGGCCCTGCTTCTCCTCTCTTGGCCTCCAGGAGTGCAGGAATGAGAGCACAGGGGACACCCCAACTCCCAACTCCCAAATTTACTTCAACAGTCCAAGGTGCTGACAACTTCAATTTTTTTTTTTTTTTTTTTTTTTTTTTTTACAGTAACCTCTATATCCCTTTCTAGGCTGGAGGGACTCATGACTTTTTATTTAATATGTGCTCTCCCTTTTTCCGGTTCATTGGCTTCAGACTTATTATCTTGCATTTGTCTGCATTATGCTGCCTCCTCCTCTGACCGTTGTCTGAGTCATCTGTAATAACCCAGCCAGCCCGTCCCAGTCCACTTCTGAGTGTGCGCCCATGCGTGAGCGCGCCCTTCCGCGGGGAAGCACCTGTGTTCCTAGGGGCACAAGCCCTGTGATGGAGAGGGTGGGGAAAATCACCCTGACTCCCAGGTCAGGTGGGGAGTGTGGAGGGAGAGGGTCTCATGCTGCGGCAGTTGTATTTCTGCCTCAGTTTCCTGACGTGTAAAATGGGAAGCTTATCCTTATGTGAGGCCTCCATAAGATGAGTCTCAGAACGATGCCAGCACATAATCAACACTATGTAAACACTTGCCGGCTTTACTGTTGCCATGACGATTGCTCAAGCACAATGGCCAGTGAAGACCCAGGCTTTACAGAAGGGGAAAATGATAGCCCCATTACCAAGCACCTACTAGGTTCAAAGTGCTCTGCACTAAGTACTACATTTTTCAACAAAGGAAAAACTCCTTATTTCCTTGCCCTGATGAAAAAAAGGCATGCTAACCATAGGACAGATAAAGAGAGCAGATTACTAATTAAAATTGAAAAGTATAAGTGCCTAGCAGAGTGTCTCTGACTCATGGTGAGAACTTTGTAAATGTCAGTAAAACGGCAAGGCCGAAAGGGTGTTTGGTGTGTCTGTTTCCAGACGTTTTTCTATACGTATGTTGATTTCTTTTAAACTTTCTCCAAACATGCAATTATATTGTACATGATGATTTGTGAATCACTTTCTAGTTCCACTCGCCAATCGCTGTGGTCATGTTTTCGTGCTGGAAACTGTGGTGGGACGAGTGTGCTGTGGTTTCTCATTCCCAGTGCTGGCCGCATCCAAGTCAACAAGTAGAAAAGAGACTTTCTTAACCTTGCAGAATATTAACTGTCTAGTTTAATGAGAACATAGAATTTAAGATTAAAAAACCCTTAAGTACATGCTGGGGATTATTGGGTGTTATTTGAATTGTGTTACTGGTAACATCACACACACACACACATAGTTTAGCTTCATGCTGCTCCATTTAATGGATGTACGATACTGAGGGACATTTAGGTTATTTCAAAATAATCCAAATGACCCATTGGATTCACATCAAGCAATTTAATTCTCCAATAACCACCTCTAATTGCCCTTTATTTTTTTTAAAGATTTATTTATTTATGCATACAAGGACCGGGATACAGGCCAGAGGTGTAGGGGGCATGAGAGGATTCACCAGAGACAGAGTAGGGAACAGAACAGGCAGACCGAAGAAATACACTGCTGAGGGGAGCAGCAGGTGAGCAGGTGAGAGAGGAGAGGTCTGCTGCGCCATGTGGGTCAGTTCCCTGGCCGGGGAATGAACTCGTGCTGCAGTGGCTGCGGATAGCCTCATAGTGCTGAGACTTAACCCCTTGTGCCACCAGGGAGGCCCCTAACCTGCCCTTTCATGTTCCCCCTTTCTCCCTCCCTACCCCTGCCCACTGGGATGCTGGAGCTTGAGCAAACAGGGTGGCTCTTGTCTCCTCCACCTGTGGCTAATCTGTCCTGTCATTGCATCCCAAGGCCTTGTTGGCTCAGGAAGCTCCGGAGTGAGCCCTCAGGAGCAGGGAGACGGGTTGCCCCTTCTTATTAGTGCCTCCAGCTGACATGCTCTTCCCCTCAGGCCTCTCCTTGGGCTGCAGGGCGGAAGATCTCATCACGCACATGGCAGCCTCACTCTCTTCCCTATTTCTGGTGGGGCCGGGCTAGAGATGCACCAGCACTGGGTCTGCTGGACCAGGCCCTGTATCTTAGGGTCTGCTGAAGCTGCTCATCTCAGCTGGGGTAGACCATTGTTCCTGTCCCCTCCCACCTCCCCAGCAGCGAGGATGCATGGGTCACTGAAGTCAGTGCCGGTGGCAATATTTACGGGATGGAAATTGTCGTTATCTGGCAAACCACCCCCTGCCCCAGCTGATGGTTAGACACTTACCAGCTCACTACGACACGAAGCTGCCCAGTCGCTGGTGGTTGGTGGGCGCTGCCCTTGAAATATGGAGCTCGCTACCTGTCATTCCTGGCCATTACAGGCCAATTACAGGAACCCAGGAAAGATCACAGCGTTATAATAAGCATTTCACATTATAAATGATGCATCAATGAGTAGTTTTTTACATTTAGCCTGCCCATTTGAGTGATTATTTCCTTTGGCTATGTTCCTAGAAATGGAAGTGCTGAATCTAAAGGCATGTCTAGTTTAAAGTTTCAGACACGTATGGTTCAATTGCCCTTCACAAAATGGGCACCAATTTACACTCCATCGCCAACGTGCCTGGCATACTCCAGACTGGCCATAGCTAAATATTATGCTTTACAAA